TTTTACCACCCCAACCATTTCTACCATAAACTTTATCATCAATTGAACATTGACGAAACTCCATGATGTTACGGGTCAATGTACCGGTTTTATCAGAAAATATATATTCAATTTGTCCCAGATCATCTGATAAATTCCACTGTTAAATTTGAGATCGAAGATAACATTATGTTAAAATACGAAAATATTGGACAAGGAGGAAAAAACGAAATGTACACTTGCCGATTTTGGAACAGCGGCGGTCTGGGAATCATCATCCCACATTTGTAAGTCATTATAAATAAAATAAGCCTAATTCAAAAGAAATAAAGTAAATTAGCTAAACCTATGAAATCAGATTTACACATCAATTAAAGATTTACGTACTTGCCATAACTTAACAAACTCAATTGAAATATATAAAGAAATTGGAATGATGTTTTGAAATATAATCAAACTTGCCCTGTAAAATTGGTTATTAAAAAAAAACTTTAGTAACGAATAAATAATAATACATCTTCTTATGTATTAATAGAAAAAAAAAAACTTTACTTAATTATGCAAAGTATAACCTACATAAAAGTAATGAATGCGGCTACAAAAACACCATCACGATTTGAATCCAGATTATTGACAGCAATATCACCGGCACGATTTTTTAATGCCTCTGTCGATAACGCGCTGCCAATTGCACAAATCAAACCAAGAATTATGAGAACGAAAAAATTAAGAATAACCTAGAAAAAAGAAACCATAAATATTTTCTTGAAGATTAACCAATTGGCTAATTAAATTAAAAAAAAAAAAAAGAAATATTTTACCTCGCGATTCATTTCTTTTTCAATTCTACTACGTTTGCTTGGTGTTTCACTAGAATTGAGCATAATTTTAGTTTCAACACCAGTGAATACAGTTATAGCAATAACCCATTCTGTATTACGGATCACATGAGCTCTCAATAATAAATTGTTGATGTCAACAGGAATAGTCTTTCGCTGTTTCCATTTACGTTCTGAAAGAGCGATGCTACTTCTTGGTGAAGAAGGCTTTTCGGCCGATGTCGAAGTATGATCCTCATCTGGTTCAGTCATGACCAAAGTTGCACTATAAGAATATAAATTTGAATTTGGGGCTTCTGAATCAACGTAAAAATTGGCTTTGACACAATCTTCAGGGGAGCATATTTGACTTGTGTCAGGAACACACCGACGAGGTTTCAAGTTAGTTTCACCGTCAAGATCTTTTGTTTCCACAAAACAAGTTCCTTCAGGCTCAGATGTAGACAGAATAATGGAGTCAGCCGGTACAGCATCATTATTCCTAAGGAACAAAAAGTCTCCGACACGAACATTCCTCCACATGACTTTTCTGAATATAGGAGATCCATGTTTTTCATTCGAGGGTTCGGATGGAGGTGAATCATCATTATTAACAGAACTTAGATCTTCTATTATGCTCTGTGGAGGAGCATCATCTGTTGGACTTGTGGATGAACTGTTAAATAAGGATTTAATTCTAAGAATCATCCTTTTCCAAAACGGTACCTTTTGCTTTCTTGGATAATTAACGTTAACAAAATTTTGAAGATGATAGCATATCGCGCTATTAAATTGTTTGTCAATATGATGTCTATTTCGATCCTCGATGGCATCCTTAAGTCCAGTAAAGAAGACGACAGTTGACAGAGGAAGCAATGTCAAAATTGGATTGTTGACACTAATAATTGGTATCATACCAAGTATAGCCATGAACAAGAAATATAAATTTGCAGCTCTTCGAAATTGTTCAAATAAATTTTTAGGTAAGAAAGTCCACGTAGTATACTTGGAAGTGACAATTTTATTGGTAACATATCTAGCCTTTGGTCTACCCTTTCGGTCAAGATCCTCTTTTGGTAAATCTATATTAGAATAAATTCTACGTACTTTACCGGTTGAGATACGATTTTTAATTTTAGTTTTACTTCTCTTAAGTCGCGTACTAGACGGCTTTCGACCAAAGTCTTCATTGGGAATATTTGCGTCAGTAGTATAATTGGAGCTATTGGAAATAGATCTCATATTCTCATTTTCATTTTCATTTGATTCGTTTTGTTCAACTTTCCCCCCAGGTTCTTCCGAAGAATCTTTTACAAGATTGGTTTCTACAAATTCATTTGTTGTAGCCGATGATATAACATTATCATTATCGTTTATAGTTTCATCCGTTTTCCTCGCTGGCTCACTTTTAGTAACCGATTCCAACTTTGATTCCACGATTTCAGTTACATTAGGCGTGGATACTTTGGTTTCAGTTGTCACAATAGGCGTGTACATCATATGTTCAGTTATAACGGGCGTAGTGGAAGTAGGTATTGTATTCTCCAAGTCCTCACTAGACATTATTGTATCAGTAATTGTAACTGTTTCGGTAATTATTGGCACACTTTCGGAAACTACACTAGTCGTCTCTGGAACATTAACAGTTAAAGTCGTCGTTGTAACATCAGAAGTTTCCATAGGCACAGTTTTCGTATTCGTAGACGCCATTGTAAAGAGAAAAGTCGGCTTTAAAAATTGATAGGAGAGATATGAAAACCCTCACTTTTTCGATTTATTTTTTTTTTTTTAAAAATTAGATAAATATAAATATTATACTTAAGGATATGAGAAACCAGAAAAAAAAAAATTTGAAGATAATTCGAATTAAAATTAAAATAAAATATATTTGAAAATCCGTATGAATGCACCATACCAATACGCTAAGCAAAATAAAGTAGGATTGAATTTAAATAAAGAGGAAGGGAGCAAAAAAAAATATACATTTTTTTTTTTAAAAAACAAAAAAAAAAAAGAAGCTAAATTACCCGCAAAATTAAATACGTCGATCATTGATATTTTAGTCTAATTCAACAGGCTGAAAAGCTTCTTCTTATGTCAATGATATTTATAGGCATTTTATAATACCTCCGATCACTAATTAATTGTTGACTGTCGTCATTATTTTCCCGACAATCATTTCTTGGTATAAATTTATCTAGATTCGAATTTTTTTTTTCTTTAATTTAATTTGAAACATCACTAAATGAGGTGCTTTAATAAAAATGCAATATCTACTTCATTTTCCCGAGTTGATTTTCAATTTCGTCCTCTGGAAATACCTTTGTTCCCACATGAATGGAAATCTTTATTGTAGAACGATATTTACTCTCCCCTGAATACATGAATTATTACTATTATTGTTTGTTATACGGATTTAAGTTTTTTTTTTTTAAAAAAAAAAAAAAAGAAAACGGAATCTTGTTAAACAATTTAACAATTTCAATAAAGTCGACTAAATTGGAAATTAAAATCGATTTCGGCAGGTGAGAGTAGAATACAGTATTGAAGGGTGCATTGAATTGATGCAAGTCATTTATTTTGATGATTTAAAATAGATGTAGGTAAGGGATTTCTATATTTTCTATATTCACGTAAGGTCATTAATAGCAAGAACTTTTTTTTTTTTTGTATTAGTAATAACCTGAAAAAGTACATGTAATTAGCCGTTGAGACGTCGAGACGCATGAAAAGTTAATTTTCTATTCCCAAAAACTTCATAGTCAGCATATATTCAATTTCAAATAAGAAGCTCTCTGCGGTGTAACATCCGTAATAAATAGAATAATTGTATGATTTGCGTAAGAGAAATATGTAGAGTCACACGTGCCGTCGCAAAACACTGCAGTCGACTAACTAATACAAAATTGATTTTAAACCTAATTCATTTCGCTTATATTAAACATTCTTTATTAAAATATAATAAAGATGAGAGATGCTGTCCTAACTTCTTGAAGTAAGGATAGGCTAACTAACAATTAATTAAATTAAACTTCTTTAACAAAAAGGCAAGGTAGGTACTTTTTAATATTACATCATAATATTTACATGATTTCTTCTCATCCTAAAATTACTAAATCCTTAAACAATGATGAGAGGATTTCACGCAAATAAAAAATCGCTTACGCAAAATTTTTGTAAGTTTTAAAAGTTAAACGGTTCGATAGTTTTAAGAAGATCTCATCAAACATGTCTATTATATGTCTATTTTAATATGTAAAAGTATTATAAACAATTTTAATATGAAAAATATGTTGTACCGGCTTAAGGTTTTTAATTTTATTGTGAATTTTTTTTTTTTTGGTTTAAAAAAACTTTTCTTTTATTAATTATAAATATGATACTAAAAATAAAAATTTCTTATTATAGCTACTTCATATTTTATTATAATAAAAAATTAATTTAATACAATAGAATATTTAAATTTTTTAATAATGGATAGAACTATTTAATATATCAAATTTTTTTTTGTATAATAATTATAGTTTTCAAATTAAAGTTATCTATTTTGGTTTCCTAATATTTGTTTTCTTCCTCTCTATATAGTCCATAATTCAAAACAGAAAGAACTTTATGTTATAATATATTAATTTTAAATTAATAAAAATATTTATTCTTTAAACTTCTACATATTTTTTTTAGTATTAATATTGTCTATTTAGCTAAAATGGAGCCTCAAGGATCAAGATAAATAACTCACTTTAATAAAGCTGTTATTTCCGTCAAGTTGTATTTAAATTCAAAGCATTTATTAAGAGCTTGACACCATAAAATTAAAATTTCTTTTTTTTTATTTAAAAAATTGATTTTTTTTGAATTTTACATAAAATCCAACTGAACAACACACTCTACAACCTAAGAGAATCTTCTTCCTCCCATAAAATTACATATATTTTTGTTATTAAAGTTATATATTTGTCTCTACTTGTAAAACTTATTTTTAAAGCGAGGTTTCGCGTTGAATGTAATAAAAAAAAATAATCGCCAAAAGGAAAATCAAATGTAACACGAAATTTTTTTAATATTAACAGATGAAAATGAGCCCTTCTATTCATCTCCTTTTTATATTGGGATTCGTTTCCTTCTACATCTATAATTCGCTCTCCTGAAAATGCACTAAAAAAGAAGGCATCGGTGAATACTGTGGTGGTGAACTGCTATATAATGGTGGTGGTAAGTAAAGTCGAATTCTTTTTTTCTTTACAATTCTTCAATTCTATTTAACGGCTTTTATTATTTAGGTTCTGATTGTGGTTGGGATCTTATGTGGGACTGTCATGGTAAAGGCAGCGAAGCTATCAAGCTGGGCCCTTGTACGTTTGGTTGTTGTGGAAAGACTGGTTATAATAGTATCTGCTGCAATGACAGTGAATGTATTGGATGCGATGAGTCATACACCCTAAAAATCCCAGCGTGAGTTCCACAAGTTTATCGGTAGGTTAAAGATGAAATTCATGCTATTTATAATGAATAACGTCTTTCTGTTCACAATTATATAGAGCCCTAGCAATACTCCCAAGCCAACTGGACATCAGACCAAATTATAGCGGCAATTATATCTTCAGGAATTCTATACCTAATAATTCACGTGATTTCACTGCTAAGAGATAGGATAGGTTATGATTTACTTTGATTATACATAGCTGTAGTAATAATATTAGTACTATGCTGTATTTTTATCATAATGAAGTATTATAATAAAAACTGTATTTAAATTTTGTATATTAAGTAAACTAAACATCTGTGAATTCTTAAATCCAGTCTCTAATCGGTTGATCAAAGAATATTCGAGCATAAAGATATGATGAGTTTAATATTCTAATAAAAAATCTCAATTCTTTTAAGAATTATTGATCATAACTTTTGTTTTATTCGTCTCTTTTATCTTGTTTCATGTTCTTCCACTTCCATTGTCTTCTGCAAATGCATTAAAGATGAAGGCATCGGTGCATACTGTGATGGTGAACTGCTATTTAATGGTGGTGCCTGATTCCTTTTATTTAACGGCTTTTATTATTTAGATCCTGGATGATATGTGGTTGTCAGGGTAAGAACAGCGAAGCTATCAAGTTGGAACCTTGTCCATTTAATTATTGCGAAATTATTGGTTCTGAAAGCCTTTGCTGCGATGACAGTTAATGTTTTGGATGTGCCGAGTGGAGTCATACACCCCTAAAAAATTCCAAGTGTGAGTTCCATAAGTTTATAATGAATAACGCTTATATATATATAAAGCCCTAACAATACTTCCCAAATTATAATCAAACTAGTTAGTTATGAAGTTGGGTAATAATTTTTTTTTTTTAAAAAAAAAAAATAAAAAGTTGTCATCTTTAATAAATGAAGACCTTGATTTGTAACCAAATTCTAACATATACCAATTTTCTAATCTGATATTTCCCATCTTCAATTATAATTTTTCAATAAATTTTCTTTTCGAATTATTGCATGCGATGCTTTTATTAATTATTGATTTAAAGAATCTTACACCTCATATTCCCAGATAAGAATTCAAATTATTGTCTCACAAATTTCTATTCTTAAGATAATTATGAAAACGTAGCAATTTTCAGTTATCCCTTTCCTTGCTAAATGAGAGCTTTTGGGAATTACTCGATAGGGCTTTTCAATTATATGGAACAAGTTTAGATAAATATTACCAGAAATGCAATCGTTTGAATAAAGAAGGTCCAAATGTGAACTTTCAAGGTTCAAAATCTTTCCTTTAAGTTTCATATATTTTCGTAATAAGAATGCCAATTATCGCCTTTTTTTTTTTATATATAAAAAAAGCTTAATATATGTTTGTTAACTAAGCATTTATTTTATAAAGACCGATAAACCAGTTACTCTGACCTAATTTCTTCGGCACTACGTCTCGCAAACCATTATTACCCGAGTAAGCGTCATTTTACACCTTATGGAAGGAACTGTCTCTATTAATAAGAAGAATATAATTGTTATAATGAAAGTCCCTAGCTTTAATAGTAATTTTCGAAACTTTAAATAAAGGACAAATGTAATCGATAATTATTAATCAAAATTTATTTTTATTATAGTTGACTTATTTTAATAGTAGCACAGTACATGTAACAACTTTTAGATAAGGTAGATTTATTTAAAAAGATTATATATGTTGGATAGCTTTTTTTTAGACGAATAATGTTTTTTAAGATATCAAAAATATTATTTATATTGAATCAACCAAAATTATTTAATAAAAACAGTACGCTTCGTTACATAAAGTTTACCATAAAATTTGATAAGAGATAAAAAAAACTCTACAAGGAGCGACAAATAAAGACTTTCAAATTTCTACCTTGAGAGAAAAAAAAAAAAAAACTTTTTTCACTCTAAATATTCTTTCTATACAAAAAAAAAAAAAAATAATCTTTGCAAACAATTATACTGATTTATCATAAAAAATCAGCTTATTAGTAATGGATTCAAATTCATAATTCATTCAAAGAGTAAATGCCTGACTTTTCTCGATAACTTTGCTCTCATATACATTTCATCATAATCTACTCGTTTTCTAAAAAGTAATGATATATAAAGTAAGTGTCACAAGTCACTGATTCAACAAATGATTATAAACTTTAAAAGTTGACTTACCGAGAAAGGTTTAAAGCTTTCTGTCTTTTTTGCAAGATGGTAAACGATTTCGGTTGAATAGATTTGTCAATGCTGTAACCCAAAATATCATCGTACAATTCTTTTGGTAAAACTTTTTTAAAAGGTTTAATCTTGTACCAAAAATCCGTTCCAGAAATTTGAAACCATCTAATATGTGGAATAAAATCTTGAAGTAATTCCCTCAATGATGCAAAGTCCTCCGATTTCCACTCTTCCACTTTAAAGATATCAAGTTGTTTTTGAAAGATGGCGAATTCTAGCAAATGACACCAAATATTAATTTCTTCCATATTTAGATCATCCCTTTTTAAAACTTGAACGATAATGATTTTATCAAAATTATTAAATTTGATGGAATTGATGAACTTTTCCGGATTTTCACACGTGATTCGAAGAAATATTTCCCGAAAGTCGGAAGAAAAATCATATCGAAAGATGGTTTGTAGAATATTCCCGGGGTCCTCATCGATGAGCCTGTGTGAATCTTGTAAGACACATTCGAGAATATGTTCTTTAAGGGTGTCAATACTTAATTCATCAGATGCTTCAATTAGGTTACAAATATCCGAAACCTTTTGTTGTTTCAAATTCAACTCTGCCTTGTATATAAAACTGAAAAAAAAAAAAAAAAATTTAAAAAAAAATTTTTTATTTTTTCCGTTTGAAAAATTTTTTGGAATACAACCAACTTACTTTAATATCATTTCAAATATTTTTGGTGAAATATTCGGCTTCTTATAATGAATGATGCCATCAACTTTATGAACCCAAGATTTGGAGAAAGCTGTTTGAAAATACGGAGAGACGGCAAACAAAATGAACGAGTGAGCACGAAAACTTTGAATATTTGGCTCTTTTCCGACTTCTATTAGCGTATCGGTTCCTAGACCACTATCCAATAATTCTCCAAACCTGGAGTAAATCTTTCGGGTAATCCTCACTTTCTGTTTTTCAAACATCATTCATGTATTGAACTAAACCGAATATGATTTTTTTTTAAAAAAAAAAAAAAAAATAGATAACCAGGATAATAAAGTTCGTTAACGGTTTTGAACAAACATTTATTAAATCGTCGGATAAAAGATTAGGAGATAATCGAACCAGTTCCACAAATAATCCAAATATCATATTATTTTTTAGATTAAGGGGCTGTAACGAATTACGTTACACGATGTTTGATGATCCGCACTCGATTTATTACCGGGAAACGTTGTTTTTTACCTATTTAGATTCCTCTTTTTAGTCATTACTGACCTTTCTAAAAAGCGACTAATTAATGCTAATTTATCACAATCATCTGAAAAAATTGTACAAAGTTAGTTAAAGCTTTCGATCATATAAAACCTATTTTTGGATTTTTAATTCGTTTAAATTCCCAATATCTTACCAATAGATTATTTGAAACGAATAATAAGTTAAAAATAGTATACTTCCTAAAGTGACAATTTTTTAAATTTTTTAAGATGAAATGAACACCCGGTATATCCGTTATGGTTTAATGGATTACAAATTGGGAAACAATTTGATTTTGGAGATTATGTAGTTCTATTCATATTTGATCGATTTCAACACATAGCCTGATTATTTAAGAAGTGATATTAAGATTAAAAATTTTGTATAAATAAGTTCATTTCTTTTTATATAGAGGAAATAGGCGCACTGAGTAGTTTGTTTGTTTCTTTGTGCATTAATTAATAAATCTTATTCCTTTTAATTTCTTAAGCTCGTTAATTTTCGATTTTTATAAAATTGTAAATTGATCAACTTCTCTTTCATTGTTAATAACATAAGATTAATTACATAAATGAACGGGATTTTCTTATCGCGACAATTTCGATATAATTATTAAACTTGCAATTCTCTTGAATGCATGTACGGGTGCAAAGTCGTTGATATGTGTAAACAATGAAGAATCACCTTTAGAATTAATCTAGGATATCACAAAATAATGGTATGCAATTTAGGGCTGTAGAGTCGCATCTCGAACATTGCGGACACTTCGTGTCCTTCATGTGGCATAATTGGACAATTTTTTTTATTAAAATCTTTCCAAACAAATAAATTATTTTCGTAAACAAAACAACCTGTGATTGGAATTATTTCAAAATTTTATTATTAAATATATATAGTATATAGTATATATCATATTATAATTTTTTTTATAATTCTACGTCAAAGCAATGCAATGACGTTCTGTCCTCATATTGATTAGATTTCTGTGTTGCTGATCATGTGTGTTTAAATTATTGATTTTTATTATAAGTCCTGTTATGCTTCCATAGTTTTATGAATTCATATTTTATTTAGAATTTTTGTAGTTTATAATTTTAAGATTTTTTTTTTATTTTTTTTTCGAGAACGTTAACTAGAAGATTATATAGCACGTATATATTATCTGAACTCGAAACAGCCTCCGAATCTTCATTTGGTACGTTTATAATGATTTAATATTTTTTTTTTAAAAGCAATAAGCCAATCGAAATTGAATTTTACAAATTTTTATTAGCAATTTTACATGATGACCAAGCATTCTAAATTCTAACGTGATGTATCATGAACTTGTCCCATATTTTCCGCCTTTGGTACCATTATATTTATTAATACAATTTGTTGATTTCCTTTAAACTTTTTTTTGTTTTGCTAAGTCTGTACAAGAATAATAAAAAGAAAAAGAAAATTTCAAACGACTGTGTGATTAGCAAAGAATATCAAAATTTTCGAAATAATTTATTTAAAACAAATGGATTGATAATGATAAGGCTCTTCATCCCTTGCACAAAGAAGCAATGAAATTAACTGATCCGAAGTATTGGTTATGATTTTTTACTTGGTGGTCAGCCTGTAAGAAGAGGTTAAGAATTTTTAAAATTATACGACAACTTTCATTAGATTTATTTATTTTATTTTTTTTTTAATACCATAAACCATAAAAAAGTCAGTTCAAATATGTAATCCTAAGATTTGAACTAATAATTTATGAAACTAAATATGCATCATTATTTAAATAAAAAAAAATTATTTATTATATTTTAAAATTTCTTTCTTTGAGTATATATTGTTATTTTTTGCAACTCCATTCTTCCAAAATAAAACGTGGGACTTATAGTCAAAACAAGATATGCGGCTTTTTTGACGCGTCACGAATTATTATTGGTTGGAGCACGCGATCATGAATTTTTATGATGATCTGATCAATAACGCGTTCGAATACATATAAATATTCCATATTTCCCACACTTTCTTTTTTACACCACTTCATTTTTTTTTTTTTATTTTTTTTTTTTACGTTGTTTATAAATTTTAATATCATAATAATTTTAACAGAGTCCACCGAACGACTTATATTCTTCTTTATCACCTTTTTACTTTAGTATTTTATTTTGACGTTCTGATTTTTTTCTGTTTTATTAAAAACAGTCCATATTATTACGCGTAAATTTGTTTTTGGTTCGACCATCTTAAATATCAAACTTATTTTAACGGCGAGCGTGTCACAACATTCAACAAGACGTTTAGGTTATAGAGAGCGTTTGGAGCAAGAAATTTCGAAAGTTCCTGGTTTTACGAAGACAAGATCACACGTTTGAAATTTTTTTTGGTCTTGAAGAGTTGCAACTTATGTCACCAAACGATTACAACAAAAAAATAAAAAAAAATAGAACTCGACAACTTCTACTGGTACAGATGATAAATATCCACTGGAATATTTCGTATTACTGATGAATACGCCAAAACGATGAAGAGATTCAAAAAAAAGAAAGGATTCTAATTTAGGTAATTAATTATACATACTCAGTATACCCCTCTGAATTTTGCGGCAAAGGTGTTCCAGAAGGG